AAAATTTCATAGGCTAGAGGGTAGCCAATCAGCACGTAGGATTTTTTTGAACTGTTCGCTTTTTAGGGGCATTTGACGTGGTCTGGGCTCAGTGTGGGCGGCTAAGCAGTAGTGTCAAATGCACAAAAATGCGGCAGGATGCTAGATCCTGCAAACTACCAAATGACACAGAATTGAGACTTTCACTGGAAAGCTAGTTCAGGATCGCTTATGAGCTACGAAGAAAAGGATCAAGTGGAGCTCACGAAGACTAGCACAGCGTATTCTCTTCTCGGTTCGGAAATGTAAGCGGCAATATAGAGAAGGTGGGCTAACTTATGAAATGTCAACAGAAATTCCGAAATGCGTTTCCGTCCCGAAAAGATTAATTGAGTAGGATTGTAAAACTGATCATCATGCAGCATAATTCTATAATAATTCGGTTACCCGCGGACGCCGGCTTTCGGAAAAAACTTATGTTTGGCTGCGTCCAAAAAACATACTCCGTAAAAAATGACTACATAAGTAGCATGCATTTTTTCATTGATCCTCGATGCCCTTAAAGCTTCAATTATATTTCATAGAAAACATGCACAAACATTTTCGTTATTTTGCTTTTTCAGTAGATAATTACGTCGTCTTTCAATTTTACCCTCGAAGGAATGGTATAATTCTGTTTCAAAAAAGTTTCTAACTGTGAGATACATTAATACCGTGAAATGGCCCTTCAAAAAACGTCATGTCTCTGCATTCACCAATGTGGCTTGTAGAGTTTACAGTGTGGCTCAAATCCACTGCTTAATTTTATGAACCCTATATGGTCCTCCTTTATTACCGTAGAGAAATGTGTGGTTTTCTGTACACGGAAATTATACGGCTTGTAGTTTGCGAACCCTGAATGCAAGTGTAGCGGTAGGTCGGGTTCAAAATTATTCGGGAATTGAAAAAGTTTGAGAAAACCAAATTGTACCCTTCCTTCGAGTGTGAACTTGAAAGATTACGGAATTTTCTACTGAATGAGAAAAAGAATGAATATTTTTTCGCATGTTTTCCATGAATTATAATTGGAATTTTCGGGGCATCGAAAATCAATCAGAAAAATTCTTGCTACTTAAGTAGTCATTTTTTACAGTGTGGTTTTTGCCTGCAGCCGAAAGGAAGTCCATCAGAAAGCCGGCATCCTGTGGCAACTGAATTATTATAGACTTATGTTGCAGGCTGACTAGTTTTACAACCCTGCTTGGTTAATCTTTTCTAAACGGAAAAGCATTTTGGACCTTCTGTCGAGCTTCCATGAGTTAGCCCACTTACTGTATGCCCCTGTAGGGAGGACTTGAACGTTGCGATCAGAAAACCAGCATTCTGGCGACTAAAGTGTGAACTGTGGTTCGTTTCGAACCAGTGAAAATGATCACTTAGCTTGGTATTTGTGCGGGTGGCGGTCATAACCCCCCCTCACCAACCCCCCCTTCATCAAACCACTGCACACACCTCATGCCAGGCACACGTACCCGAACAAAGTTTTGCGGAGGATTGTACTCGTTTGTTGTGCTGCCAAACGATAATTGAGATGAGTCGAGTATTTCTGCGCCACAGTGTGGGCGTTAACTCCGAAAATACGCACAGCAACGAGTTTGAGTTGGAGGCGGGTTGTACCCCTATTGGTTGGTACCGTCTGTTCGTCGGTAATGAACCAGTACAAGAGAACCCAACTAGCGATCTCACTCACTTTGGCAGTCATCTCAAGTGTCGAAGTGTCTTCCTCGTCAACAGTGAGTGTAGTCTTCTTTACTCACTTCTAACACCTTAATTTTACTTTTTTTCCATTCTGCCTTTGAACTTCGAGTACTTGGCTGCAACGTTTGCCCTTGGAGACTGCTGATTTAGTGTGTGTGAACGTCAAACGGGAGTCCACATTCATCATAACGTTCCCGCTAACTGTCGGGCCTTTTTGGTGGCCATTCTGGGCAAAGTTTGATCAGTCGGTGGACATAGGGCTCGAATAGGCGAGCGCTATCAGTCCATGTGCTCTGGCGATAGCTCGTATCGCCCAGTGAATGTACTGACACAAACCAATCCCACAGACTGGACGCTCATTTATCCGGACTGTCCTACCTGTCTGCAAATCGTAACTCTTTGAAAGCATTGGCTGTAATCAACCGTTCTTCTTCTCGAACGTGGGGGGTGTTTTGGGAGACCTACAGCAACGTCCCAACAGTTTCACAAATTCACAACTCGATTCAATACACTCGAAGTCGCTAAGTTGACCTTGTAACCCCCGAGGATCCTTGAGGTGGCAAAGGGACGTTTGCAGCGGCCTTCAATATCTCATTCTTATCATAAATACCGATTTTATCACCGGACCAGTCAAGGATAAAACTTCCCATCAATCATAACAATTGTAAAGATGATGTGTTGAGTGTAAACTCGGAGACCGAAACGTATCTGCAGCAGTTTTATTCACGTGTTTTGCAATGTTAGTCTTGAATGCCTTCCCTGAGCGAACCGATAGCAAACATTACAATACAAAGAAAACAACGATGAACAGCCAAGCATGACCGTGCGTCGGATAATGTCCATTATTCGCTTAACTAAAACAAACTGTCTGCGTTACAACCTATCTGTCAAGTTGGATTTTTGCAAAACACGCTCCTGATTGTCTATGCACGCGATAAGACGAGTTTTGGGTGTCAACTGGGTGAAGTATTCTCGGTCGTCTAATCAAGGTGGACTAGGGGGGACAAGAAAATGAACCTGCAGTGTGACCAGTTCCAAATAGAATAAAACAGTTTCTACTTCAATTAAGTCGATGTAATCCCCAGCTCCGTTGAAATCGCTCCTTTTGAGAAGTGCAAGGCAGAACGATGAAGCCAAAAATCCCTTCATTATATATGATCATATTCTCGGCTAGTCATGCCTTCAGTTCAGATGTCCAGATCACTTCACTGTGCACGTATCTCTCACCTTGAAAAAGCGAAATAATACGGCGTTTCATTCCCGGGCCGATTTAAAAGCAAATAACAGTGTTATTTAAATGCCACTAAAAATTAGTCCCACCAAATTTTGCCTTTTGGTCTCTTGTGAGCTTCAATCGCATCCGTGGATCTATTATTCCTCGAGGGTCAGAAGAGATACCAGATGTTTGAGAAGGTTGTGGCTATTTGTAGCTTTGCATTTTAACTGCAATCCAGTAATCCAGGGGATAGAACCTCATAAGAGCACACCGTTTCTGACTGGCTGATGGATGACCGGAGCGGGTGTATAAAATCAACCATTAGAAGCGAAGAGACGAGTTTCAGGAAATAGTCTTGAAGAAGGAGGCACGATCGCTGGGACATGAGCTTTATTAGCCTGACGTTTCGGATTCCTGCTCGAACCCATCGTCAGAGACAAAATCTGATATTGTTTCGAGCAGGAATCCGAAACGTGGGCTAATAAAGCTCTTGTCCCAGCGATCGTGTCTCCTTCTTTAACATCAACTATCTCAGTCAACCCTCGCCTGTGTCGACAATCAGTAAAATGGAGTTCGTTGTGGGAAAATGGGGAATTGTCAAAATTTAGGAAGCATGCCGCTCCTATACTCCATTTTACTTATGACGGTCCGTCCTCCTTGGAAACACCATCTGGACTAATTTTCAACAAGATGAGGCTTAATTTATGCGTATTTTTCATTAAATTAAATTGTAAAAATAGTGCTTCCTTTTAAATGGCAACAATATGGAGGATCAAAATTTGTTACACTACACAAGTTCTTAGATTTTCAGCTCTTTTGCTTAACGCAAAGCCCCCCCCCAGAGTAAGTAACCCCGGCCATAAACTACAACATCCCTTTGCGAACTATTTTCGAACTCAACGTCCCAGCTAAATTCAATCCCTAAAAGTGACTAGAAGCGGGTATGGAGTGTTGTGTTAAATGCGGTCAGAACTGGCTGCTAATTGTCGTGATCGTAACATGCGTGTTAAGTACTGTCTGCAGTAACTGCCTTCAGACTCCTGAGAGAATATCCCCGAGTAACTGAAGTTGTTATCTCTCGGTAGACTTCTGGATTATCTAATGGAATCCAAATCCAACATACTAAAGTGACTGATTACAGTTAAATTCCAGAGCTTGACCTCATATTTCCAAAGGATGTTTTACTTACGTATCTTGTCTGTGACGACTAAATTTATCATTGTTTTGTCTTTTTTGACATCCTGATGCAGAATGCCTACATCATGAATCCCTGTTCTTCCCCAATAACTCCAGCAATCCTTCGTATTTTGAATCTTTACATTACTCAAATCCAAGTCGTTTTATAGGATAGGAACCCTCCACAAATTCGTAATCCCGCGTCATGTTTGCGTTTTCTGAAAGTGAATTAGTGTGATTTAATTAATTTATTCAGTTTGGATGCGGGCTTTGTTAAACGGTTGTTGCACAGTTCAATCCAATATTGACCGTTAGTGATTTGAAAAGGGTATTGCATTCCATGCCTGAACTTACAACCCAAAAATCAGTTGCCCAAAATCAACCACTTTAGTGGTATTCGGATGTCGAGAGTTCACTCGTGATGCCTAATCCCAAGATATGTTGTACATATCCTGATGCGGGCCTTTGAGCCTACATCTTTTTAGGAGTCCTCAAAAAAATCTGTTCGAGTCTAAAACACATTTAAGAATTTCCGTTAGCACATCATCTATTTATAGCGAGGGCAGCAACTGTTAATTGCTTCTCAAAGCTGATGCTCCGAGTGTCTCAGCCTTTATATATGTAACATATGTCACGAATCCATGATGAAAAACCAGCCTTCTTGATCGTCTATACTCTAGAATAGGGATTATGTGTGGATGCAGAGCAGTTCAGCTTGGACGGGGGACTGAACACGCAGCTTAGAAACGGTTAGGGACAATTCTCTACCTTCATTGCTCACTGAGTCTCCTTGATGGCTGAATTACTAGTCCAAAATTCATTTAACGTCCAACACTTTTAATAACCCTTTTCAGCCCAACGTTTTTATTTTATCGTTGCTTTTTTGCAGAACATGGAGTGCCCCAAGGCCATTTACCTTACTCTCGTCCTTGTCTGCACTGTTGGTAAGTTTTGCTCATAAATGCGTTCTGGGAAGAACGGTAGTAAACACCTGGCATCTGCCATACCTACCGGCCCACCGTCTACCCTCTAAAATATGATCTCTCTGCTGGATCGCTAATTCATGTTCACCTTAAGGGTCTTGATCAGTAATCCTCCTATGTAGCTGATCCCGATACCACGTAAAACCCTTTGACCCTGTAGATCTGAACCCCTGATTTTTTAAGATGTTCAGATCGTCACAAAACCTGCGTCTTTTAGATTAACTTGAAATAGTCCATATTTTTAATTCTAAATTCACAAAGTGTGCTTTAAGATCTCCACTAGCGACCAGGATTTTACACAGAGAAAAGGGGGCGGTTCGGATCCTACTGAGCGGGAGTGATATAGAGGCCACACTAAGAAGGAGCCGTTGCAACCTGACTATCAGTCCACCAGTCGGCTACACCACACAAGCACACAACACTGGGCTGACAGTGAGGTTCGAGTTATCCCCTCATTTGACAACCTTCCAAGCCACGGCTTTGGGCGCACCATGATAGATTCAAGAACATCCGATTGTTTGTACTGAGGAATATATGCTGTGACCGTTGCCCTCACTCTCTCTCTTCCCACTCACAGACACCAGTCCACTGTCCGAACCGGTCATTTGCCTGGTGCCGAATGTGGACGAAGTGGTTGACAGAACCAGAGACTCCGTCTGGGCGCGCGGCACATGCACGACCTGGTTCGCCAAACGCACACAAGAGAAGCGGCTGAGATCTCACATGTGTGAAAAACCGCCATTAAGAAGGAGCCATCGTAGTCTGGCTCTCAATCCACCAGCTGACCACTCAAATTACGAACACACAAGTGGGCTGACTGCGTAGTCCGAGTTGGAGCATCATTGGGCAACCTTGCAAGCCACTGCTCCAAGCTGACCCTGATAGTCTCAAGCGCGTCAAATGGTTTATGGTGAGGATTGTGCGCTAGGGATGGATCTCACGCACTCTAACCTATCGCGTACACCATTCAGCTGTCTAAACTGGTCAACCACCTAAAAGCGAGATTGGAAGAAACAGCTGACATAGCTGAGAACATTCCGTATGCGCGTACCATGCACACGACCGGGGCCCCCATGTACACAAACCAAGATTCCACACACCAGGGTGTTCACTGCTCGGATATCACATGTAGCAGAGAAGCAACAGGAAGAAAGGAGCCAAAGAGCCCACCTCACACTAATTAAGTAGGGTTATAAAACTATTCAGCCTACAACATAATTCTATTATATTTCAGTTACCTCAGGATGTCGGCTTCGAGCGAACTTCCTTGCAGGTGTATGCAGAAACTACACTCTGTAAAAAACTACTACTTATGTAGCATGAATCTTTCTAACTGATTTTCGGTGCCCGTAAAACTTCAATTATATTTCATGAAACAGATATATGAAAACATTTATTCTTCTACTCATTCGGTAGAAAATAACGTCTTCCAATTTTACACTCGAAGTAAGGGTATATTTCGGTTTTAAAAAAGGTTATCATTATGTGATTTTTTTAACGTCATGTCTCTGCATTTACAATATGGCTCAAATCCACTACTAAATTTGATGAACAGCATATGGTCTTCTCTTAATACCTTACAGAAATGTTTGGATTTTTATATGCGGAAAATATACGACTTGTAGTTTGGAAACCCTGAATGCAAGTGTAACGGAAGGTCGGGTTCAAAATTATTCGGGAATTGGAAATGTTTTTGGGAACATAGTTATACCCTTCCTTCGAGTATAAAATTTGAAGAAGACGTACTTTTCTACCGAATGAGCAAAAGAACGAATATTTTTATGCATGTTTTCCATGAAATATAGTCGAACTTTTAATGGTACCGAAAATCTATCAGAATAATGCATGCTACTGAAGTAGTCATTTTTTGCAGAGTGTCGTTTTTGCATGCGGCCGGAAAGAAGTTCATTTAAAAGCTGACATCCCGAAGTAACCGAATTATTATAGAATAATTCTTCATGATGATTAGTTTTACAACCCTATTTAATTAACCTATTCGGAACGAAAACGCTTTTCGGAATTTCCGTTGGCATTTCATGAGTTAACTAACCTACTGTGGCAGAGAAGCGACATGAAAAAAGAGAGCCAAAGAGCCCACCTCTCACTAACGCAAGAGGTGCCGACGGTTTGGGATGTTGGAGGTGTTTATGTGTGGTGCATGTCTTGATGCGAGAATGTGTGTTAATATTAACGTGTCTGTGGTGATTTGTCACAGGTTTTAATAAAGGCGAATGGAACCCAATAGGCCTATGAGGCGGCTGAGTGTGCGAGGACTATGCGAGAAGTTGAGGCAACGACATCTGCTAAGTGCTGGTGATCCAGGCATTGATTCGCCAGTTTCTATACGATAGATTCACAAGTAACCGACCAGCCCTATGCGTGGAGTGGACGTATGGTGACAGTGTGGACAGGTTAGGTTGGTGAATGCTGGGACGGTTTTCGGTGTTGTGGTGCTAGCGTTGGTCGATGGAATGTTGACAGGGCTAGGGGGTGTGGAGTTGATGGGTGTACAACGTGTGCTAGGTATATCGATACTGAGGGAAATTCCAGTGTTGAAGATACGCACGTGACCGACTTGTACATTAGATGGACTACCTCATGAAATGTCAACCGAAATTCCGAAATTCGTTTTCGTTTCGAAGAAAATGATTGAGTAGTGTTGCAAAACTAATCAGTCTGCAGTATAATTCTATAATAATTCAGTTACCCCAGGATACCGGTTTTCGAATGAACTTTTTTTCGGCCGCATGCAAAAACTACGCTCTGTAAAAAATTACTACTTCAGTAGCATGTATTTTTCTCATTGATTTTTGATGCCTCTAAAAGTTTAAATATATTTCATAGAAAACATGCATAAAAATATTCATTTTTCCGCTCATTCGGTCGAAAATTACGCCTTCGTCTAATTTTATTCTCGAAGGAAGGGTATTATTTGGTTTTTAAAAACGTTTCCAATTCCCGAATAATTTTGAACCCGCTCTGCCGTCACACTTGTATTCAGGGTTCCCAAACTACAAGCCATGTATTTTCCGCGTACGAAAAACCATACATTTCTGTAAGGTATTAAGAGGAGACCATATGGGGTTCATAAAATTGACCATTGGATCTGGGCCGCACTGTTAACTTTACAAGCCACATGGGTAAATGCAGAGACATGACGTTTTATGAAGGGCCATTTCATGGTATTAAAAAGTCTCACAAGTATTAACTTTTTAAAGACCGAATTATGTACTTCCTTCCAGTATAAAATTGAAAACAGACGTAATTTTCTACGGAATGAGCGAAAATAATGAGCATTTTTTATGTGTGTTTTCTATGAAATATGACTGGACTTTTAGGGGCATCGAAGATCAAAGGGAAAAAGTCGTGCTATTTAAGTAGTCGTTTTTACGGAGTATAGTTTTCATGTTCAGTCGGAAGGAAGTTCTTTCGAAAACTGGCAGCCTGAGGTAACTGAATTATTATAGAATGACGCTGCAAAGCGATTAGTTTTACAACACTACTTAATTAATCTTTTCGAAACGAAACGCATTCCGGAATTTAGGTTGACATTTCATGAGTTAGCCTACTTACTGTATGTCTGCACGTGGACAATGTGGCCGGTGTGGGGCTTTGGCATTGACGTGCCGGCTGCCGTATGGTAGAGTCGCAAGCAACCGACCGAGCCGATGCGTGAGGTGGATGTGCGATCACAGTGAAGACAGGCTGATACAGAGTCCACATCACTGGTAGTTATAGTGGTGGTTTAGGGGAGGGGTGGGGGTCGCGAGTGTTCTGACTGGTGGCGAAAGTAGTAAACGCGGTAATCGTCGTCGCGGAGGTTGTGCCAGAAATGATGATTACGGCGGTGATGGACGTCGGAAGGGTTCGGATATGTTGAGACGCATTCAAGAGTGCAGTCGTGGACTCAGTGGGACTAAAGCAGGGGCGGTAGGAAATTATCGGTTGGTTGGTTCGTTGGGTCCGTAGATGTCTGATGAGGTCGATCCGCGTGTGGAATGCTCTTTGACACCCCGGGCATGTTATGAGGTGTTCGGGATTGGCGTAAGAGGTCACAGCCGTCTAAGACTTGTAAGCTTCCATTTTGGCTTTGGCGGCTGCGATCCAATTGGCTTCATAGATGGTTGTTTCAGGTTGGTGGTTGTTCGTTGTAGCGTTGAGACCGCGAGTTTTGAACCTATGCATGTATGTTATATTTCGAGGGTTAGAGGAAGAGCCCTTGATGACCCTATTTATATACAATGCTTTCGCAAATTCATATTCAAAAATAAAATTGCAGGCATTTACAATGTGATCGCGTCACAGTTCAATCGTAATGATAAGAAAGTGTATCATGTCACTGTAAGTTAGTACGGAGGGATTGTATATGACAGTTTTTTACAAAACTGACTGTGCGTAGTTATGCTGTAAAAGCTGATTTCTGTCAAAAACTAGGCGAGCAAGTTTCCTTTTAAGCATACATATTGTGTCAGCCGTCACCATCTCACTTGAAAGCGAGTTCCACGCTCTACGAGCTACGATCTGCACGTAGATGAAGTGATTGCCGAGCATCTTTTTAGGGTACCATTTCTCGCCCCTTAACCGTCAGGGGAAAAGCAGTGCTTAGACATCCAGACAGCAGTCCAACTCCAATATGGGTCACGGCATTGTTTAGTAGAAATCCGCCCGAGTTAGTCCGGACCACCTACGGAACTTCATGTCACTTTTGAAGGGTGGGGAGGAAGGGGGGATGTGAAGTGAAGCAGGCCGCCGGAAAACCCCACCTGTCTTAGCTTGCCGTTTCATTGCGGTGTCACGAACCGATTGCATTTTTCAAAGATTTTGCGCGTGTTCAAATGCTATAATATACAACTTATCTTTACGTTTCAGGGGCAGATTACAACCTTATACCAGGAGATAACAGAACAGTGATTGGAAATGTGAATGAGCCCTTTTCGACCACCACCACTCTGCCGGGATACTATGATGTAAGTTTGCGTCACCGTGCTAGCATCCGCGAAGGAGATGATGGTGTCTTTCAGTAAAGAGTCCTGTATCACCAGCGAAGCATGCTACAAGGTTTATTCGACTTTCAAGTTTCGGCCTGCCCAATGCAAGTGACCGAGATTAAGACTTCATTGATTCCTTTGCGGAAAACACTAGGCTCCGTGCATGACTGCCCCAGCTAAAGGATTTGGGTCTGGCCATCTAAAGAAGGCACATCTTAAGCCATGCTGTTATTGCACGATCCTGAATGCTCTTCTTTCGGATGGAATTGGAAAATACAGCGAGCGTTTTTCTACTTTCTTGCTTGTAAGAGGTCGTTTTCGTCTCACAGAAAGTGGGACACTTAGCATGCGTCATTAAAATCAGGACGTTGCATATTTAGGCCATATGACAAAAATAATACCTGATAAAATGTCTCCAATAAGTAATCCCACTTAGGCAAGTGCCCTCCTAGTCGCCAAATTCCCCCCCCCCCAGGGCAATGGAAATACGGCTACAAAATCTGGCAACAGCGAGCACGCAGCTCAATGGTTAAAGCCTTTAATTTCTAACCAACAGGCTGGGAGTTTGAATCTTGAGGGTTGCATACCTCTGCATTGGGTATGACTGGCTGACGAGGGCTTATAAGCCAGAAATGGCCATTCCAGTCCCCCTTGCCTTTGTCGGTAATGTTATTCTGCCTATCTCACGCGCTGCTGTTAGAACCCAAAAGATAACCCCAAGACACAACGTGGTACGATCGGTATGCACCCCTCCGCCATAGTCTTCCTTTAAAAAGCCAGTTGGTGAGCATACGATTGCTTTCGGGGTAATGCGATCAGCGCTCACTCCTCCATCATTGTATATGTATACATATACGTAAAAATCCGAGGTCTATTTACTTCATCGTGTTTACTATCCCTCGAAGAACACGAAGAATTAAATGTGATTTCATGGGCCAGGTTATATTCCTACTGGCGTTTCGGAAACTTGAAGAAGGAGACACGATCGCTGGGACAAGAGCTTTATTAGCCATACGTTTCGGATTCCTGCTCGAACCCAGCATTAGAGACAAAAAAGCAGATGCGGGTGGGTCATGCACAAGGGGCTACGGTATTTATAGGATGCAGTAGCCATGCTACCGCATACCTATGAACGCTCACGGCTCCCCCCTTCATCCGGGATCGTCGCACTTGGTGTGCTAATTGTTTGATGGCCGACATTCGCGTCGTTACTTGCCGCAATTTCATCACATGCGTTGGATGTTGGTTTGATGCTTGCTCGACCAACTGACCCGCCGACCCTGGGGTTGGGAAAAGTGTTCAACTGTGCGCTCCCCGTGTGACCAATTACGCCGCCTAGACGAAGTCTCAGCACCGAGTATGGAAGGGGAAGTTCATTGCACTTGTAAATGGACTGGGGTCGACTAAACCATGATACAAGTGCTCGATCGGAAACTCTTTCGTTCCTATTGTCAGCGGAGTCGTTCGCTGGCTTCCACTGCTGGCCTTACGGCTTGTCTCGTAGTATAATACGAGGCGTTTCTTTGGTCTCTACAGAAAGCTTTCCTTGCGCTTGTCTGCTATTACTTCAGAGACGGTTGTTCTTCAAACCGTGCATTTGCAATCTCCGAATGAAGTCGAGGGGGCACATGCAGAGACATACAGTGACGTGACCAACCGGCACGTTGATTTGACTACAATTACGCCGACCCCAAAGGGAGCAAAGGTCACGCAGGCCTGTCAGCGGTCAGTCCCGAGGAGGTCTAAGCCAGTCAGTGGCAAACAGGCAGGTCAAAGTTCGCGCATCGAGCACGGCTATAATACGAAGCAAGCGGCAAGACGGAACAACTCAAGAGCGGCAAGTGCAACAAGGACGCTACTCTGATGATGGAAACGAGGAAGTTTCCGAAACGTCAGTTCGAATACAATATGGTCCACGGATTCGCCCTCTCTTCTTCTTCGTCTTCTTTGGGAGATGATGAACGCGATACAATGTCCGGACCTCGAATCTTTATGCATATCGATAGATATGTATGTATTTGGGCAGTATGTTATTACCGACAAAGACAAGGGAGACTAGAATGGCCATTTTTGGCTTATTAGCCGTCGTTTGCCGGTCATACCCAGCCCCGAAGTGTGGAACACCCGAGGCTCGAACTCGCGACCTGTTATATATACAGTGCGTGATCGATCTCATGAAATGTTGGCCGAAATTCTGAAAGGCATTTTCGATTAGGAAGGATTACATAGGTGGGGTTGTAATGCTGGTTAGTATGAAGCATAATCCTCCAGTATTTCGGACTGACCAGGATGTCGGCTTTTGAATGAATTCCTTTTCGGCCTCCTGCAGAAACCACATTAGGCAAAACAATACTACTTAAATAACATGCATTTTTCCAATGCTCCTCATGAAATGTACAACACGGTCCGGATCCATTGCATAATTTCACGAAATCTATATAGAATTTTCTTCGAGGCATAAACGAATACATGACTTTCCTTACGTGGAAAGCATGCACCTTATAGATTGAAATCGCTAAACGCTGACGCAATGGCAGATCGGGCTCAAAATTATCCGAGAATTGGGAAACTTTTTTAAAACCTAAATATACACTTTCTTCAGCCATAGAATATGAAGACAATGTAATTTTCTACCGAAGGAGCAAAATAAAGCATGTTTTGTGCATGTTTTCCATAAAATGTATTTGAATTCATAAGAGCGTCGAAAATAAATAGGAAAAACGCATGTCATTCAACTACTGATTTTTGCCTTATGTGGTTTCTAAAGGAGGTCGAAAAGGACTTCATCCAAAAGCCGACATCCTGGCAATTCCAAAATACTAAAGGAGTATGCTGCATGCTAATCAATATTAAAGCCCCACCTAAGTAATCCTTCCTAATCGGAAACGCATTCCAAAATTTCGGTCAACATTTCATGAGATCGGTCGCGCACTTTAGTCCCCAGTCACGGAAACCGTCCCCGAATGTCAAGCTGGGGACAACATTAGCTGGCTGGTTTGGATTTCTGTTTATTTCTCTCCACAGTCGACGGATGTTTTCGGTTTTTTTGCTGCAAACGGTCCTATGCAGTCTGACTCTTTACTGTGATGCCTACACGCATTCCTTGTGATCCCATTACTCTACCGAGGTAAGGTGTTCGCGTGTTACAAGGCGGACCGCATTTTGAGGCCGAGGACAGACTTGTTACTCTGAAGTAAAAGCGACAAGATGACAATTCCTACTTTTTAAATTTCAGAAATTGGTGTCCGGCATCCATGATATCACCATCAAGGATGGGAACTGTTCAACGCCCTTCTTTAAATGCTCCATGGTAAAGAGTAAGTTTCCCGTCTCGCAAAGTAGACATGCTTTTCCAATACTTAAGTCTCACGTCTACAGTGTCTGTGAAAGCATACATGTCAGTGAATACCAGTACAGATTACTCCGTATTGAGTTAAGTAGGCATTCAGAGAATCGAAATCAGCATTATGCAGGGATCTTAAAATTAGTTAATGGAGATAGACCCATCATCAAAGTTATGTTATTCGCAAATACTAGCCGTTAGGGGCGGGTACTGAAGTCAAATAGACTGAAATGATCCCTTCGTTTTTGATTCCCTTTGTTGAAAAGCATTCGTATAGTGCTGGCATCTGAATCTTCATCACACTGAGTATATTTGAGGAGTGAATCACGCTTAGTCATGACGGCAACGAAGAAGGGCGTGTAGGTTTGAGTGCGGATTTTGTGAGCAAAGAGAAGAGTAACGACTGGCGCCAGACCGACAGCTTCCCTTCAATACTTGCCGCAGGCCGTTTATATCGCCTTAACACTCCCACATCGGTTTCTGCCATAAGCCTCGGTGGCACGCCGTTTTCTCTGTATCCGCCTGCGTAATTGTAATTTTGGTTTTGAGGTCTAGGATTCAAGAACCTCAGTCAGCTGGTACATTTCATTTTGTTGGCAGCAATCTGAAGTTCCTGGTTGCAATCCAGCTTTCCAACGAAGGTGGATGGATACTTAGAGTAGGTGGGCTAACTGATGAAATGTCAACTGAAATTCCAAAAGACGTTTTCGTTTCGATAAGATAAATTAAGTAGTGTTGTAAAACTAATCAGCCTGCAGCACAATTCTATAATAATTCAGTTACCCCGGTATGCCGGCTTTCGAATGACTTCATCCCGGCTGCACACAGGAACTACACTCTGTAAAAAGGCTACTTAAGTAGCATGAATTTTTCTCATTGATTTTCAATGCCCCTAAAAGTTCAATTATATTTCACGGAAAACATGCATAAAACTATTCATTCTTACACTAATTCGATAGATAACCGCGTCTTCTTTCAATTTTATACCCGAAGGAAGTACATAATTCGGTCTTTAAAAAGTTAATAATTGTGAGACTTTTTAATACCATGAAATGGCCGTTCATAAAACGTTATGTCTCTGCATTTATCAATGCAGCTTGTAAAGTTAACATGATGGATCAAATCCAATGCCACATTTTATGAACCCCATATGGTCTCCTCTTAATACCGTAGAGGAATGTGTGGTTTTCCGTACGTGGAAAATACATGGCTTGTAGGTTGGAAACCCTGAATGCAAGTGTGACGGCAGAGCGGGTTCAAAATTATTCGGGAATTGGAAAAGTTTTTGGAAACCGAATTATAACCATCCTTCGAGGATCAAAGTGAAAGAATACGTAATTTTCCACCGAATGAGCGGAAGAATAAATATTTTTATGCATGTTTTCCATGAAATATACTTAAACTTTTAGAGGCATCAAAAATCAATGAGAAAAATACATGCTACTGAAGTAGGCCTTTTTTACAGAGTGTAGTTTTTGCATGCAGCCAAAAGGAAGTTTATTCGGAAGCCGACATCCTGGGGTAACTGAATTATTATATAACTATACTGCAGACTGATTAGTTTTACAACCCTACTTAATCATTCTCTTCGAAACGAAAGCGCATTTCGGAATTTCGGTTGGCATTTCATGAGTTAGCCTACCTACTGTAAGATAATGAGGTTTGACATGGAATCCTCATTCTCCATTAGAATGATCCGAGCAATCATTGCGCATATCCATGAAAAAGCATTTCCTGTCATCCAGCTTTTCGGGCTATCTCCTCATGGCCGAGGATACAAACGCGTGGGGTCTTGGCACACTCGAGAAGGCAGTGAACAAAATGTGGATCAACCACGTCGTCATCAGTCTTGTTTTCTGAGATGCGACAGGTCACGGGACGCTGGCGTTGCTTTTCAAAATCATTTGTATGCCACAAATATTCTGTCTGTGTACGCCTTCAGCGAAGAAGTTTATGTTGCGTGTGCTGCATCACATGATGCAATTTCCATTTGACAGGACAGTTCCATAAGACCACATTTTTCGACTTCCCCCCTACAGATTCTGATACCATGAGTACCGTCAGCATATCCGGCTACATGTCTTATGGCCTGAAGTGGATCACTTTTTCCTCAAGCCAGAATTTAATCCCAATTAGCATAGTCTTCTTGACTAACGGAGTTTGGAACGATTTGGCCACCGGTAAGTTGCGCATTCCCACACAGGTTTGTTCATTGGTTCCGACCCGCCTGAATTCACTTTCAATATTGATGATTTCTGAGGGCGTTGCAGGCACAAAAGTTGTGTGGCGCTGTTGACGTCTTTGCACTTTTGGCGTTCTGACCGACACGTTGTTTGAAGCGGTGTTGTGACCCGGGGTTTGGGTTTTGTACTGGGTGGGTCTCCGTCGACAGTCTTGAAAGCAGGCACGAGATAAGTTAAAGCGGCATTCAATCATCCGCAGAACGGAGGTTTCGGCTGCTATCAATAGGAGTAGCGCCTTCGCAAACTAGAAGTCAGGAAGCCAGAGCTGAGGGGGCATAATTATTAGATGAGCGAAATTCCGGAAGGAGAGAATCTGTTGGCTGAGAGCTGCTTAGCTTTGAGTGATTTCTACGCAGCCAAAATGCCCGCCAAGATCACGCTGATTGTTCATATTTGTGCACGAAATGAGATCACGGATGAGTTAGTATTTGGGTCTCACTATCTGTTGCCTGATAGTGGATTCCGGTTGTTGGGCCATCACAATCCCAAAAGGACTCATGATTCTTGCTGTCGCCTCAGAAACATTCCTCACGTAGGGGATCGCGAGCCAGAACTTCGGCTTCTCAGCGTCGGATCGTTCGCCGGTAAGTCCTCTTCGTAACGCACGTGTGAAGGATCGGGGCTAACCACTGGCTGTGAATAGGGAATGTAGATATTTCGCTTCCTCCCATCTCCCGTCGTCGTCGTCACTGCAGTGTGTTTGAACTCGTTGAAAAAGAAGTTATGACACACCCGCGTTTGTGACCATATGGGGTGGTTACTCCAGAATTGGAGGATGCGTCTAGTATTCGTTGCTTTTCGTCATACCGTAGTTCTGATCCCCCCATTGGCCAACCCTGTGACGTTTACGTCAAGGAAGGGCAGCCGGTTGTCGTTCACATCTTCCATTGTAAATTGTATGTCTGGGAATATTGAGTTCAACAAGACCTTGAAGCCCTGAATGTCGTTCCTCTTGACTACGACAAATGTGTCGTCGACGTATCGGCCCAGAATTTTGGGGAGTACGAACGAAAGACCAGTCGCTCGAACTTCTGCAGAACAGCCTCAGCAATCACTCAAGACAACGGAAAGCCCATCAGTGTTCCCTTCTTTTGCTCATAAAGCCGGTTGTTGGAAGGGAAGAAAGTTCTGAGGTACAATTCCAGGAGTTCGATGACGTGCGTTCGTTTAAACCGTTGATCAGTTTCATCATATTTCTCCTGAAGAAGCTCGCCAATGGTGCTGATGACAAGGCCGGTTGGAATGGAGGTGTATAAGGAGACCAGATCAAACGATACCACTTTCTCGTCTGGCTCTATTTCTAGAGGTCTGATACGCCTTAGTAACTGCTCAGCCGACTTCACCGTCCATTTGGAATCCTCCGTCAGGAAACGGATTCGTTGGTAGGGCCATTTCGACAGTTCAAAGGTCGGGGTGCCGCGTAAGGAGACTATGGGGCGTAGAGGTACTCCCGGTTCATGCACTTTTGGCAGACTATAGAAACGCGCCATGGCGGCATCGGTGGCTTATGCGGCCAGTGTCTCATTCCTCTTGAGGGTTTCTGCCTTCCTCGACTTGTTTATCGCACTTTTTATACCTTTCACGTGCTTCTTGAACTCTCCAGTCTCCGAAGGCTCAGAGGCAACTTTGTCCTCCAACAGACTGCAGTTTCATGTTGTAATCGATCTTGCCCACGACAACCGTCAAGCGTCCATTATTGGCGGACAGGGTGGCGATATCCGTCATCTTCCGAATTCTCAGAAGTTCTTGGTCTTCTACCTGGGAAATCATCCTCTGAGGTTTGTGCTGGAGCAGAAGAGTTGACACTTGTTGCCGCATGGAACTTTTAACCCCTTTGTTTGCTCCACACTTCTGGAACGTCTATAACTTCTGGAGCTGCCTAAATAACTAGAGAGGCAGCGAGACTGAACGATTTCGACTTAGGAGGAACAGACACTCATCCGCTCTGATAATGGACACGAGGAAGTTTCCGAAACGTCAGCACCAAGACAGTGTGGTTCATGAAATCGTGTTCTTTTGGGGATTATGAACTGAATAAATTATCTGGACTTCGAATCTTCGCTCATCTCGATATATATCTCCTAGATATGCATGGAAGAGGAAGATAGGGTGATATCTGGGGAAGAAGGCTTATTTATCTGGCGTTTCGTACTCGTACTCAAGCATATCATCGCGGAAACGCGCCATGGCGGCATCGGTGGCTTTTGCGGCCAATGCTTCGTGTCTATAAATATCCATCACAGGCAGCATATAATGAGACCCAAAGACCGTCTACCGGCAACGGAGCAATCGGCAGTGGTCTACAGCATACCTTGCCTAAATTACAATGCGAGGTATGTTGGCGAAACAGGCAAACGCCTCTGCAAAAGGTAGCACGAGCTTCAGCTTGCAGTCAAACGCGAGGATAAGCTGTCACTTGTATTGCCACATGCAATAGGCGAAACACAGTTTCGCCTTTGGGAAGACAAGCCTCATCGGCCGAGCCAGCGAAAAGATGGCCAGACTGGTTATCGAAATGTGGTCCTCAGTTGGCACTATCAACAGAGCTGTTGATCTTCATCCGGCCTACCAGGCGTTACGTACGAGGCTCATGCCAGTCCGGACGGGGTCGACAGCACCGGAGAAAAAATCCCTGCCTTCTCAACAGTTGTCACCTCCACAACATAGCGAGTGAGCCAGCGGGGGGCGGTCAGACGACCGAAGCCAGACATCGACCCACCGACGCGCCCAAACAGCCGAACGCGATTCACACATGCAACGGCAGCTGATCAGACCATCAGTTTACGGGGAAAGGCCCACGGTCACACGGACCTAGCAGCGACAACGACGGCCGGGCAGGAGACAGAGGTGGCACAAGCGTCCCAGCGGCCGGCCACGGAGAGACCAAGGGCAATCCCCTGCCAGCAAGCAGGTCCGAGTTCGTGCATCATGCATGCCTATAACACAAGGCAGGCGGTGAGATAAAAGAACTCTGAGTTAGCAGGAACAAACACCGTAAGAACAAACGGTGAGCACCCCCTGCCATTATATATATATATATATTTAATCAACGTTAGAGAGGCGCTCACCGATCGCTCTTTTTTACAAATCTCACACGTCCCGCACAGCGGTGCATGAATAAGGCAGAATCGTATTAGATTGGCAAACTTGAGAGATCCGGGTTGATTATTTGAAGAAGAAGAAGAAGAAGAAGAAGAAGAAGAAAAAGAAGGGCTCACCGATAAAGATAAGAGAGACAGGAATAGTCGTTTCTGGCTTATTGGTCCTCATCATCCAGTCATATCTGACCAACAAATGGCGGAATCAAGCCTCAGGTTTTCCGCACTTAAGGTTCTGTATAACCGTTTGGCGATAGTTAACAAGCCAAAAATGGTCACTTCAGTCTTCCGTGTCTTTGTCGGTAATGTTATTCTGCATATATATATATGGGCAGGATGATATTAACGACAAAGACAAGGAAGACCGGAATGGTCATTTCTGGCTTATTAGCCGTCGTCAGTCAGTCATACCCAACCACAAAGTGTGGAACACCTGGGGCTCGAATTCGCGAGTTCGGGCAGATCGGGCAGATCGTGACTCGAGGAAGGTGGCACGTCCAGCAGTCCTTAACTCCTGCGTGTACTTCACCCCGACAGAATTCTACGGCGATTTATTTCCACTGCCAATGTGGGAGTTGCTACAACTGCCGTAAGGGACGCACGCAGTTATTTCACAGTCATGACCCATGATGACAGCAGTTACTGAGACTGTTTATTTGCCCATCAGCTGTGACAGTTAAATTACATTAAGCGGAGACTGGTGGAATGTTGCAATGATGTCAACAATAAATAGATCATTGGCTTGATTTAATTGCTCACTTTCATCACAGGCCACAAAGATTAACGGGTTAGCTAACCTCCTCCACTTATCACCATGCACAGGTTCAATTCAACCGCAGTACTCGTTTCCACTCGTTATCCGAGCAAAAGGACAGAAGACGGTCACAATTACCTGTTCGATTCTGACAAACGGTTTGACAGTTCCCCAGGTAAGCCACATTTCATGTATGATCCTCACGCATCGCTCGCAGTTGTAGCTGATCTGGAGTCGCAGTTGCAACTACCTGCTCTATCTCCTAGGGAAATCTGTCAAAATAGAAAATAACTAGGCACAGAAGGCATTTCATTCAGGCTAAGTAACCTTAAACAAATGACCAGTAAAGCGTACACGAACCCATTGGTCTGTCGGAGGGAAAGGAGCTCCGAGTGAGTGTATGATGTCACGCACAACTAGCTGCCTGCCGGGTCGAAGACGGCCAAGGTATGATAACATAAGAGGGGGAGAGAGGATTGAGAATGTGGGTAGACTGATAGAGGATCATTTGGGGTTTGTTTGCCCTCATTCAGCCAATCATAACTTTGACTATCATATGAAACCGTAAACGTAAACGTGCGCACGCCCAGAGCGCAGATGGCGCGCAAACTGAAATCCAACCGATGGGTCATAGGCGAGTCGTTGAAGAAGACGATGATGGGGGTTAGGCTTGGTCAAATGTGTGCAGAATACACCCGAGACGGTTACGCATCAACATCTCTGTCGTCAGCCCGTCCCTCCTTTGTCGGTTATCCGACCTTGAACAGAGGCTGATAAGAGAAGAGGTGTAAAAGACTGTGGAAAGCGCGGTGAATGAGTAGAGTATCACCCGAAATGGATGTGTTTACAGTAGGTGGGCTAACTCACGAAATGTCACCCGAAAATCCGAAATGCGTTTTCGTTTCGAAAAGGTTAATTAAGTAGGTTTGAAACATTAATCATCAAGCAGCATAATTCTATAATAATTCATTTGCCTCAAGATGCCGGCTTTCACACAAACTTTTTTTCGACTGCATGCAGGAACTATACTCTGTAAAAAATGACTTCTTAAGTAGCAGACATTTTTCTCATTGATTTTCTATGCCCTTGCAAAGTCAATAATATTCCATGGAAAACATGCATAAAAATATTCACTTTTGTACTAATTTGGTACAAAGGTACGTCTTCTTTTAAGTTTATATTCGAAGGAAGGGTATAATTTTGTTTCAAAACGGTTCTTATTGTGAGATCTTTTAATACCGGGAAATGGCCGTTCATAAAACGTCATGCCTATGCATTTACTAGTGATGATTTCATAGTTAACAATATAGATCAAATTCACTGTTAAATTCTATGAACCCCATATGATCTCTTCTGAATACCGTCGAGAAATTTACGGTTTTCCTTACGCGCAAAATATACGGCTTGTAGTTTGGAAACCCTGAATGTAAGTGTAATGGCAGGTGGAGTTGAAAATTATTCAGGAATCGGAAAAGTTTTTGAAACTAAATTAAACCCTAGCTTCGAGTATAAAATTAAAAGAAGACGTAATTTCTACCGAATGAGTAGAAACATGAATATTTTTATACATGTTTTCCATGAAATATTATTGACTTTTTAAGGGCATCGAAAATCAATGAGAAAAATGCCTGCTATTTAAGAAGTCATTTTTTACAGAGTATAGTTCCTGCATGCAGTCGAAAAAAGTTTATGTGAAAGCCGGCATCTTGAGGTAACTGAATTATTATAGAATGACACTGCGTGATGATTAGTTTTACAACCCTACTTAATTAGCCTCTTCGAAACGAAAACGCATTTCGGAATTTCGGTTGGCATTTCATGAGTTAACCCACCCACTGCAATTCCCTACTAGTGCAATAGCTTTACGCAGCGTACTCAGAGGACATGAATTCCCGACCAATCATTCCTTGCTCTTGAAACATCATCGATTCGCCAAGGAAACGTGCTCCTACCATTTCCTTGTTCCTTTCAGCGAAAACTGACCATAGGCAGGTCCAATATCGTCTTCTACAATCAAGGTGTAATAAAGCCCGTGAATAACATAAGTGACTATCCACAAATCATGAATCTGGGTAAGTAACTGTGAGCGCCCCCAAACAGAAATTATGTCGTCTTTCAAATTCTAGTACGTAATATGCTCTTTATCGCCCATGGCGTCATCGTAAATAAGATTCTTTCATCATCATTTCAGAGGATCGAACGATTCTATTTCATCGCGTTATGACTTTGACGGTCAAACAGACTGAAGCTATCGATTTTTATGCGTGCAATACCAACAACTACTGGCTCACACACACGATCGACTGGAGTAAGTTTTTACTCGGAAATAAGAGTTTTGCGAAATTTCTATCGAGAGAAAATCTTAAAATACAGGTTTAAGTGTGCTTACTATAAACATGACAGCAGATCCAAAGTTAAAATGGGATTCTTTGAAATTAAATTGTATGTTGATCACTGAGACTTACATCAATCTCTTCTCGGTTTTCAGCGTCTGCTGGCGCGGGTAGGCATCGCCGTCCTGGTTTTTATAAATTCCGTCTCAAATTTCTCCTGAAATTGCCGTTTCCCTTGAGATTTATGACTTTTATGTACAGTTTCTAAGAACTATTTAAATGTAATGTTTTACAGATATTTTTTTTCTTCTTTACAGCTCCAAGAAGCCTCATCTCCCGGTCGCTTTTGGGTACGGGAGAATTCAATCTTGCCTTGTTTGAGTTTTAATATCGAGCAGCTGCTCTTGTCATTGTTCACCTCAAGAATGCATAGGTCATCTGATCAAAATTGGTTGTGCTGACTTCTATGCAGATTTTCTCAGCTGCACGTGAAACTTCATTTAAGTCCGAAACCAGTTTTATTAGCCTACCCACTGCCAACTACAGTGAGCGACCGAACTGAGGAATTGTTAAGCGAAATCCCGAAATGCGTTTGCAATAAGGAAGAATTACATAGGTAGAGTTTTAAAATACATCATCTTGCGGTACAATCCCATAATATTTCGGACTCAGCAGGGTCTCTGCTTTTGAGTACACCTCTTTTAAATCTCCTGTAGGAACCGTACTCGTTAAAAATGACTACTTAAGTATCATGCATTTTTCACACTGTTTTTCAATGGTCTTATAAATTCAAATATATATCATAAAAAACATGAACAAAATATGCTTTCTTTTACTCGTTTGATAGAGACTTACGACATCTTCAGATTGCATAGACGAAGAAGGAGTATAATTAGTTTTTAAAACGTTTACTGATTCCAGAATTATTTAGATCCGATTAGCCGTTGCATTAGCGCTTAATGATTTCAGCCTGCAACGTGCATGTGTTCCGTGTAGAGAAAATCATATATTCTTTTATGGCTTTAAAAAGATACCTTATGGGATCCGTGAAATTTTGCACTGAATGCGGACTGTGTTGTACATTTTATGAGAAGCAGTGGTAAACGGAGAGGTACGAAGCTGTAAGAATGGGCATTTCACAGTCTTAAAAAAATCTCATAATTAGAAACTTCTTCAAAACCTAATTATACCCCTTCTTCAATTATGGGGTATGAAGATGTCGTAATTACCTATCCAGCAAATGAAAAAAGCATATTTTGTTCATGTTTTTTTATGAAATATGTTTGAATTTATAAGACCATTTTAAAAACGGTGTGAAAAATGCATGATACTTAAGTATTCGTCTTTACCAAGTACGGTTTCTACTGCAGATTTAAAAGAGGTGTATTCAAAAGCAGAGACCCTGTTGAATCCGAAATATATGAGAGTATGCCGCAGGATTATTCGTATGAGAACTCAACCTGAGTAATTCTTCCTAATGGAAAACGCATTACGGGATTTCGCCTAACATTTCATGAGATCTTTCACGCACTCTATGACGACGGACGACGAAAACTGGTGAAACCTGGTCCCTCACTGCCACGCTCTCCTCCCTGACAGACCACACCCACTTGATATTGCCATCTACCCTGGAGCTTCGTCCCCTACACCCTCCCAAACCCCTCCCACAGCACTTGCTTGTGGGATCTTATTTCGTATCCGCACCTGCAGTAGCCAAGCTCCAGGCTAACGCCTAACCCTTATCCCTAAAGGGTACAGTTACGCTATATGGTCTTGCCCATCTGCTTTCTCGGCGCTGAAGCCCATCATGTACGACCAATGAGTAATAAATAAGACAAACTTGCCCAAACCAACTCCCTCTGATTCCTAAACAGTGAGTAGTACGGTAGATGTGCTAACTCATGAAATGCGTTCTCGTTTCGAAAAGATAAATTTAGTAGTGTTGTAAAACTAATCATGATGCAGCATGAATCTATAATAATCCATTTACCTCAGGTTGTCGGCTTTTGAAAGAACTTATTTTCGGTTGCATGCAAGATCTATACTCTGCAAAAAATGTCTACTTAATAAGCATGCAATTTTCTTATTGATTTTCGATGCCTTTGAAAAATCAATTATATTTCATGGAAACATGGATAAAAGTTTTCATTCTTATACTTATTCGGTAGAAAATCACGTCTTCTGCCGATTTCATTTCAAAAGCAGAGTATAATTCGGTTTTGAAAAAGTCTTCTAACTCCCGAATAATTTTGAACCCGACCTGCTGGTACACTTGCATTCAGGACTTCAAAACACCAAGCTGTATATTTTCCGTGTACGGAAAACCATACATTTCTCTACGATGTTAAGAGAAGATCATATGAGGTTCATAAAATTAAGCAGTGGATTTGAGCAATATTATTAACTTTACGAGCCACATTCGTAACTGCAGATACATGACGGTTCATGAACGGCCATTTAACGGTATTTAAAAATCGCACAATTAGAAACTTTTTTAAAACCGATTTATACTCTTCTTTTGAGTATGGAATGGGAAGAAGACGTGATTTTCTACCGAATAAGTAAAAGAATGAACATTTTAATGCATGGTTTCCATGAAATATAATTGAATTTTCAAGGGTATCGAAAATCAATGATAAAATTGTTTGCCACTTAAGTAGTCATTTTTTGCAAAATATGGATGTTGCATGCAGCCGAAAATAAGTTCTTTCAAAAGCCGACACTCTGAGGTAACTGGATCATTATAGATTTATGTTGCAATATGATTAATTTTACAACACTACTTAATTTACCTTTTCGAAACGAGAACGCCTTTCAAAATTTCGGTTGGCATTTCATGAGTTAGCACATCTACTGTAATGAGATTCCGTTAAAGTAAGCCAGAGGAAATTTATGGCGCAGCGATTTACAAGGACTACTTGCTGTCTGTAGCCAAAATCGTCATCTTGGTAAATGGGGTTGGTGTCTGGCAATTTGTCTTGGGCACCGAATTCTGGCACCAGGGAATTCCACCAACGAGGGGGGGGGGGCAGGAAGCACCTGCTACCTCAGTCGATTTTTTTAAGTTGGTCTCACTCCCTTTTCCTTTTCTCCAAAGAGGCCATCATGCAGTTAAACCTGCCTCTCTTTCCAACTTTTAACTGCCTTCCCTCCATTCTTGTAGTTCTTCCGGCGGCGGCAACGTTGTTGGTGTCGTTGGTTTCCAAGTGAATCGTCAAAAGAGCGCCAAAATTGTGGACTCAGAGGAAGTGCAGACCTATTTTCGATGTACATTTCTTTTTCTGGCAGTCATTTCTTGTCAAAATCATTCCGCCTTTATTCTGCATCTGGTCTTCGTGTCTGCCATTTATAACCAGGGAGAATTTATCGTCGGATTCAGACACTAGGACTGGTGGATGAGCTGTGTAGACACTTGTTCGTTTATCAGCCTGGAGTGCAGTGTGAATACTAGACCTCGGACTTAGCATGGTTAATAGGAGGCACCATAAAAGACCAATGACTTCGTTTAACTGCCCTATCTAGGCTTCTTGCATTGTCCTGGCAGAAAGCTGCTTACTCAGCCAAACCACAAAACGTTAATAAACAAGACGACCTTCGGAGAATTCGGGGGTTAGATCGCAATTGGTAGCCAGGAATGGGGAGGCCGTAAGGGAATGGTGGGAAAGGGGGTTATATGGGTGGGGTACGCGGAAGGGCTAGTAGAGGAATGCTGGAGTTTCTGGGTAAAAGTAAAGTTACCAGTGAAAGTGCTGGGAAGTTTTAAGTAGGTGAAATAATGGCAGGAATTTAAACCCTACACCTAACCCTACAATCCAAACCTGACCGCAACCGTGAAGCCTAACCCTACTCCTCAAAACCGAAACGTAACCCAAATCCTGAAGAACAACGCTAACACAAAACCTAGCCATAACCCTGACTCTAACCTTGACCCTAGTCCTAATCATAACCCTAACCCTAATCTTAACCCTAACCTTAAACTTAACCGTAATCCTAATGCGAACCTAAACCCTAACCCTAACACTGGAACCTGACCCTAAAACGCAAACCCTAATCATAAAACTTAACCTGCGCCTAACCCTAACCCTCACTAAACCCAACAGCCTGACCGAGACGGGCGACCTGCCTAAGTCAGTAAGAGCGTACCTACTGATAGCAAGTTCCCTAGAAAAGGTAAGCACACCTACTGATAACAAGTACGTACGTCGACAGTATCAAAGTATAATGTCTGGTTACCAACTGCGATCTTACCAATTCGGGTAGGGACTTGTCCAAATAACTGCCATGAATCAGGTAAAGAATTCTGTGCTCGCTTTTAATTGCGGTAGGGTATGCAACATGTGAATGGTGGCTTATTTTTTGGTTACATCTTGGTCTGCCTGTTTGATATGTGGACAAGCCTGCAAGAATAAATGCTGTGAAAATTAACAAAAGCTTCAAACCCTGTCCACGGCTCTTGCAAATGCCCTTCTTCAAGCTCTCACCGTTGCCAGTGGCCACCCCAGCCAATGATAATCGGGTGCTGATGGACCTATGTGGCATGTGCGAATTTGGGGTACTAACGCGATACCTTGAGGCAAACTGGAACCAGGCTTGGAAGGATAATTGGAAGAGCTGTCTAGCAAGGGGCTTTCTGAACCTGCCTACAGATTATGAATGCTTATCGTGTGAGGGAATGCCTGGTTGGCCATGGCAGCCACTTTGTCCGATTCCATCGTTTTTGGACTGATAGGATGCGACAGTCGACTAAGCACATGCTATGACGTCTGGCCTCATAATTCCGCATACTCGAAGAATGAGAATCCCATTCCCCTCTGGAATTTTGACCAACGATGAGTCGAAACTGACGAGCGCTCTGCAAGGGTGCATTGCATCGTAGAGCTGGCAACCGCAAGTCAGATTTTGCCGTCTGAAACCTAACCAAATGTGCAATTACGGCTGTCAGCTATGGATGAGATAAGACTGGGAAACGGGGACAAGAAATGATGACTTAATTTTTGTGAAAATATATTCTTTAAATACTCCTCTTTTATATTAAGGCCCCGTAGTGAAAACTTCTTCTAAACCTCAAAAGCAGAACAATAAAAGGGGTTGATAAAACTGAAAATTCTATGTACAAACAGACGATACAAGATTTAGTTAAACGTATACATAAATCATATTAAATTTTACGTCCATTTCAACGGGACGTGAATGCACGCATTCCAAAAATTACTCTACAAAAGAAGACGTCGAAGAAAAGTTAACAAAATTAAATGATCCGAGCACATATCCCCAAGGCGACAAACGATGTACGTGGCCTGCATACGTGTTAACATAAATGCCTCGGAAAGAATGGTTTTGGACATTTCTCAGGATGGTATATTTCCATAGTTCCATTTCCAGACCCCTGACGGTCATGATTAAGGACCAAGTAAGACAGACGACTTCCAATACAACTATTATGGAGATTATTAGTTAGGACCTGTCAATAAGAGAATCTGTAATATCCACAGCATAAATATAAACAACCATTAGGGTAAATTACCTCGCCGTCTTGGCACAGATTTAATAAAAACTGCCATGACATGGGTGCCCACAATTAGTGAAATATTTGAGACACTGGAAAACAAACAGGAAGGAACCAACCTAAGAAGGGTTATGCACTCATCCATTCTGGAGTCGTAATTTGTTGGTCCATTAAATTTTGGACTAGCAACAGTTCCTCGTTTCATTTATGCCGTCTTGGGAAGCCGGGTTGTTTTCCCGTGGAGTGAACTAAGGTCACCGAACGGAACTCAGACTGTCTGATGCTCTTCAGGCTGGCGAAGAAACGAGTTCCAGGAAGCCGATCCGATCGCATTTAGAAGGAACTGAGAAAAGGCTTTGCTATTGACCAAGTTTTCAGTGAAAACACCAATCCCCGAGTTCTGACTCAGTCAAAAGTACATCAGAACTAGAATCACAATTACAGTGGAGGTACGTAAGGGTTAACCGCTAGAGGTTGCCATTCGTGCAGGTTTGCTTTTGGCTTTTGCATTTCAGAATAGTGAACATGTAATGGATGGATCAGGGTTTAACTTGAGAGATTTGGTCATATGGACCTTGCTTGAAATGTTGAAAAAAAATCGCGCTCCATCTCACACTGAGACATTGCGTGTTTATAATTTCCGTAGGCAGATTGACTGTTCGCTGAAATTTGTGAAGATGTAAAATAAGAAAAACATGGTGTTAATGGCGACACGGAGGGCAGAATGTGATTGGTTGCTTATTTATTGTTACACCTTAACTTATATGTTTTATGAGTGAGCAAGTCTGATAGAGTGAGTGTCGTCCAAATTGTCGAAAATTTCAACTCCCACTCACTAGGAAAAGTAATCCTGGCAATCAGGAACTGGTAGATCTAGCGGGCAAGTGAGACTTGGAGAGGTCCGTACACAAGACCTGGATGCAAACTGGACCCCGCGCTTGGAAAGATCGCTGAAAAAAACTGTCTAGCAAGGGACCTTTCGAATCTACCTACAGATAATGAGTGTTTGTTGTGTGAAGAAGGCGTAGAGTGACCGACTAGCCCCAGCAACCACACTGTTCGATTTCATCGATTCTGGATTGATTGTTTCTGACAGTCGACTAATACACCTGATATCAAGACTCGCCTCTGAATTGGTCATACTTGAAAAGTGAGAATTCCATTCTCCTCCGGAATATGGAGCAAAGGTTAGTTGATGCTGAGGGTCAGAAGACTCTCGAATACCAAAAGAAGAGGAGTCATTCACCAGGGGAGGTAAAGCGGAAATCTGACGCCATAACTAGTCGCTTCGTCTACCCATCTCCAGAGACTGCGAAGTCATGCACAAAGCACTCTGTATATGGCGCACTTTGGTTGATGCGTGAGCCGTCTATGCCGCCTGTCTGGCTGCGTCCGACCGGGACCTGAACGGCCCCCACCCTCGTCGACCAGGGAGAGAGTTGACGGCACCGATTGCCCCGCGCCGTGACTGTCCCCCGTTAAGATGGTTCGTAAAGTCAGGTAAGAGAAGGCGAATTGATGCGGCGGTGGACTGAGCAGTCAGTAGACAACCAGAATTCTTGCACCTGCCTTGTTGTATGATCATCGCAGCGTCTTAACGGCCTCAAAGTTGACGGTGTCTCATTTGCGCGGCATGGGTTGCCACTTCCGACTTTTGGTCCAACCTTCGCACGGCCAACTTACGCTCGCGCATTTGCGTTTGCGGCCGTCGGCCGGTTTCCTAACGTAGATGCATCTTGCGCAGCTTCATTGAAGTCGGTAGACAACAGTCGATATTTCCTGCCTAGGGATGGGGTCTTTTGGGCGCATCACTTGCCGGCGGATTATTGATTCGAGCCTGTGGGCAACGCCTATTCCGAGCGTCGCGAGGGATCTAGCCACGGGTTCAGAGACCCCTTTCATGTACGTAATGCTCCGCCACGATTTTGGCTGACTATGCTCTTCATTCCGTTTCCTTGGTTGCCTTCGGCTCCGTTCAACGAATGCTCGCGGATAGCCGGTTTTGTTTCTGTCAACTAGCACCGTCACTTGAGAACCCCTGCCTTCTCTTCTTCAAAACGAATTGCAGCAATTTTGAACGAGCTTTTTGGAATGGCAAAATTGGCATTAAATTACTCGACGGACAGTAAAGTAACCTTCGATAAAACCACGTCCAACCAGGGCAGGACGGACTGAGCGTCAAATTCTCGCACAAGGTCCCTGTGTACACAGTATCTTTAGTTAATTTAGTGAAGAATTGAAGTCACCTTAAAGGAAGGACACTTTTAATAATTTCATCGTCTCACTCCAGCCCGAAAGCTTTTGAATCTGTGCAGAGCAGACCAAACTAAATTACTCTACGCCTCACCTGTTCTGACGAGAACGCCCCGAAACCGTGCATTACTAGTTGGCTGTTGAAGATAGGGGGCAGCTACTCGCCTCTGCTTATGGTTGTTCAACATTACCTTCATGGCTCGAAGGAAAATAAAGCACTAACTTGGAACATTTGAAGCTTTAGTAAGCCCTAAAAGTGCGATCGAGCCGGCTGGTTTTTATCCCAATACTCTTGATAAGCAAAGTGGAACGATTAAAATTCAGGCGTAGGCTTTACAGAAAGCGAACTCCCCAAGACACAGCTGTGAGTTGACGGTCTTCCTGACTTATTTAACTAACGTCGTAGTCTTGTTAAGAATACACTAGTACGTTTGGCAGACAAGAAGTGCCCCCACGATGTCTCATAATAACTTCTTTCTCATACGTTTTCTGATGACGATGACGCAATTGAGGACTTCATACCTTTTACTAGCACTCTGCCGCCATCATCATCATCATCATCAGCAGCAGCAGCAGCAGCAGCAGCAGCAGCAGCAGCACACACACACACGAGTTCTTTTGGAGGGAAAAAGCAGTCACGGCGTTTAAAGTTATTTAGAAGATAGACCTGAACTCGGGAATTTTGGCCTCCGCAGAGGCTCCCGCTCCCGTGGCCTACCCGAAACAGGTCGTACAAGGCGCGGTTGGATTTCCTACATTTCCGAGGTTCACATTTTCTAAACGAAAATCTGCTTGTTTGATTTTTCGCAAGTTTCTATTTGCGCAAGGAGGTATAATCCCAACGCTGAAGAATCTTAACTTCAGGACGTCTGGTTCTGGGGGAGGGGGGGGGCGCGAAGGCGCATCAGGTTTCCTAAAAGAAACGTAACATGGGAAACTACAAGGAGGTCAAAGAAAGCAAGGGGACCATCGTCAATTGCAGGTGGGACAGATTATGCAGATGTTGACCTCTGAATTCAAACAAATCACTGAATAATTCATTTGAATCAAAATTGAGAAAACCCGGCGGCCTCGATGGGATTCGAACCTAGAACAGAAAGGGAAGGGCATGGGTACATCCAAGGCTCGAACCACCTTATCTTCGAGGCTTCTCCGGGAGCCGTGAGTTCGATCCCGCTTGGGCAGTCAGCTTACTGTATCAGAGTTGGTAGATTTGCCGATACAAGCGGAGATGCGAGTTCCAGGAACTAGTTGATCAGAAGAAGAAGCGCTGGTGCGCTAATTGCTTGATGGCCGGCATGCAAGTTGTTAATTGCTGACATCTCATCACCCGTGTTGGATGCTGGCGTGATGATTGCTCGGCCATCTGGCTGACCGGCTTGCGCGCTCCTCGAGTGGTCAATTGCTTTGGTCAGTCTATGCCTCAGGACAGAATATAGACTGGGGATGTCGTTGCACTTGTTGATAGACTGAGGTCCCGTGAACCATGACTCAAGCAACTCGCGGCTCACGCGATTATCCCCTCTTGCGAGAATTTCGGCCTCATCGAACTTGAATGTGTGGCCGGGTCTCGTCGAATAGGCCGCGACCTGAGAGTTGGCGTCATTTCTCCGTACAGCTGTCACGTGTTCGGCGATTCGCATCCGGAGCAGTCTTCCAAATTCTCCGACGTAGTTGCTTTGTCCGCAACTGCACCAGATTCGGTAAAGGATTCCAGATGTTTCTTGCCGTGGCAGTGGGTCTTTTGGTCTCATCACTTGACGCCTCATGGTGACCTCCGGTCTGTGCGCAACTCCAACCCCAAGTGGTGCAAGAAGGCGGCTAATGGCCTCGGAGACGTTCTTGATGTACGGGATCGCTCGCCAGAATTTGGGGTCGGCGCGATTTTGTCGCTCGTCTCGTTTGCGCAGGCACCGGTTGACGAAGTTGCGCGGGTAACCATTTTCTCGGAAAACCCGTCGAAGATATTGGGATTCGGCAAACTTGTCTTCCGGTTCACTGCAGTGCGTCTCAACACGCCGAAATAGCGTTCTTACGCAACTGCGTTTGTGGCTGATTGGATGGTTACTGTTGAAATTCAGAATTTGCGTCCTGTTCGTTGCTTTTTTGAACACTTTGGTCTTTAGGCCACAACAATCTTTGCGACAGACGAGGACCTCAAGGAATGCCAGCTGGTTATTCTCTTCCTCCTCCATCGTGAATTGTATGTCCGGGAAGACGCTGTTGAGACGTTCTTTGAACGTTAGCACCTGGTCCCGTTCGATGACGACGAAGGTATCGTCCACATACCGAGCCCAGAATTTCGGTCTGTGGTGTTGGAAGACCAGCGACTCCAAACGCTGTAGCACCGCCTCGGCGATGAATCCCGAAATCGGCGAGCCCATTGGTGTTCCCTTCACTTGCTCGTAGATTGTTCCGTCAAACGTGAAGTACGTCCTGAGACAGAACTTTGGGAGCTGAAGGACTTGGGCATGTCCGAGACGATTCACCGTTTCTTCGTATTTGTTTCGTAGGTGTAGCTGGACGGTCTCGATTGCCGGATCCTGGAGGATAGAAGTAAAGAGGGACGTGACATCAAAAGATACCATGACCTCATTGGGCAAGAGACTTACTCCTTTTAGCTTCTCCAGGAATTGCGTTGACGAACAGACCGTGGTGTCCGAATCAACGGTCAGAAAGTTGAGGCGCCGAAACAGCCATCTTGCCAGTCCGTACGTTGGAGTGCCTTTGAGCGATACAATGGGCCGGAGAGGAGCACCCCCCTTGTGCATCTTTGGGAGACCATAGAATCGGGCCAAAGCCGTTTCTTGGGCTCGCGCCATGCGACGCATGCAGCGACATTCCCACTCCATATTCTGTCCTGAGGCATAGACTGACCAAAGCAATTGACCACTCGAGGAGCGCGCAAGCCGGTCAGCCAGATGGCCGAGCAATCATCACGCCAGCATCCAACACGGGTGATGAGATGTCAGCAATTAACAACTTGCATGCCGGCCATCAAGCAATTAACGCACCAGCGGGCAACAATCCTTGATGAAGGGAGCACGGTTAATTGCTGTAGGTATGTGGTAGCATGGCGACCGCATCCTATAAATACTGCGACTTCCTGTACACTAGCCACCCTTTTCTGCAACTGTCTCTGATGATGGATTCAAGAGAGAATCCGAAACGTCAGGCGAATAAAGCCATTGTTCCAGCGATCGCTTCTTCTTCTGATCAGTTGGTAGATTTCTTCGGTTGTAATAAGTTGGGTGAGTAATTTCCGCCAAATGTGATTAAACTCATGTCTCCCGGTGGGGCTTCGTAGCTCAGGTGGTTAGAGCGTCGGCTGTTCTCAACCCTTGTCCTTGTTGTCGTGAGCTCGAATCCAACTTAGGCTTTCGAGTTTTTCACAACTGACCCGAACAGCTTACTCAATTCTACCAAAACACTCATTGAACAATTGAATTTCGTTGTCACCTCCGCCATTTAGAGTACCTCGACGGACGCCGCATCCAGGTGACCGAATATTCAAATGCCAACTCGGCGGATGGCAACGTTTTGCGTCAACAAGCCCGTTGTCCGACCTAATGACTGGTTGGGCTTTCCTTTTGTCCTCGGGTCTTTCTGGTCTAAGGTATGGCCGGACAACGACGAGTCAACTAGGCCAAACCGACCCAATAAGGCAGTCAAAGTGGCTCACGGTGCGCGTTTGGCGAGCAGCGCCCTTTCGGCCTTGTCCATAACTTCTGTCATATGTCAGAGCGGTGGCATTCCCCAGACGTAGACCTTCACGCCGACTCAACTACTTCATCCAATTGCATCAGCAACTCGCCAAGAGGCTCGGACAGTCGACTGGTACATGGGAAGTGGAAGAGGGCGTGAAGGGAAAAACTTCGCGGCGGAAACTTTCACAATGCACTAAGTTTCGTGACTTGGTCTTTCTCAGGACTGCAAATCGTAGATGAGACCGGAGCCGCTCTTAAAAAAAAACGGTGCATCTTTTGGAAAAAGGTCCTGTGTAGCACGCGTAAGCAGCTATCTAACCGATTGACAGATATAATGTGATATCTACTTTTGTGGGATTTACATCTGTGAGAGACACAACATACGACTCGGTGGGGCTGGAAATCCTTAAGCAACTCCTGCAATCCAAATAACCTTGATAGTTTGAGGCGGGGGTCCCAGCATATAACTGGACCCGGCATTGTGTGCACAAAAACAAACACAGCTGACGCCAAACCTGTTAACACGATTGCAGCAGTGGAATCAATCCTTACTCAGACGGAGGCAACGGAGGAGACTAAAAGCCTCATCCGACACCAAGTGTCGTCTCTCCTGATGGTACACAGGCCGCGGGAAGTGCTTTCCAAGGTCGAACTTGATACTCTTAGAGAACTCAAGGCCGACAAAGACCTGGTCGTCGTGCCAGCGGACAAAGGGCGCGCCACGGTTGTACTGGACAGGACAGACTACCTCCAAAAGCCAAAGGTTTACTGGAGGACCGACAGTTCTATGTCCCATGTGCAACGGACCCTTTAAAAGCGCTGACACGCGAAATTAATGTTACGTTGTTGACCTTGGAGAACTCAGGTGCAATAACACCGACCGACAGACGCATGGCGAGACCCCAAGATACAGCTTTGGCCCGATTCTATGACCTCCCTAAGGTGCACAAAGACGGCGCTCCCCTCCGACCCATCGTGTCGCTCAAAGGGACTCCAACGTACGGACTGGCCAAGTGGCTGTTCCGGCGTCTCAAGTTCCTGACCGCTGAGTCAGATACTATGGTCTCTTCGTCAGCACAATTCCTAGAGAAACTCAAATGGGTAGGCCTCCATCAAAATGAGGTCGTCGTATCTTTCGATGTTACGTCCCTTTTTACTTCTATTCCCCAGGACCTGGCGATCGAGGCAATCGAGCTGCTACTACAAAGCAAATACGATGAAACGGAGAATCGTCTTAAACACGCCCAAATCCTTCGGCTCCTGAAGCTCTGTCTCAGGACGTACTTCACGTTCGACGGGACAACCTACGAACAGGTGAAGGGCACACCGATGGGTCCGCCGATTTCGTGATTCATCGCCGAGGTGGTCCTGCAACGGATAGAGTCGCTGGTCTTCCAACACCACACACCGAAGTCCTGGGCCCCGTATGTGGATGATACCGTCGTCCTCGAACGGGATCAGGTGCTGACATTTAAAGAACATCTCAAAGCCGTCTTCCCGGACATTCAATTTTCGATGGAGGAGGAAAAGAACAAACAGCTGGCCTTCCTATATATCCTCGTATGCCGCAAAGATTACGGTGAACTAAAGACCAAAATGTTCAGGAAAGCGACAAATGCGATGCAAGTACTCAAATTCAACGGCAACCACCCTATCAGCCACAAACGCAGTTGTGTAAGGACGCTCTATCGGCGTGCCGTAACGCACTGCAATGAGATGGAAGACAAGAATGCCGAACTACAATACCTCCGACGGGTCTTCAAAGCCAATGGTTACCCGCGCAAATTCTTCAACTGGTGCATACGCAAAAGCGACGAAATGCCTAACTGCACGGATAGCAAATTTTGGCGAGCGCTTCCGTATGTCAAGAACGTTTCGGAAGCTATCGGCCGCCTTCTCGCACCACTTGGGGTTGGAGTTGCACACAGACCGGAGGCAACCATCAGACGTCAGGTAATGAAACCGAAAGACCCGCTGTCACGGCTGGAAACATCTGAAGTCGTTTATCGTATCTGGTACAGTTGTGGACAAAGCAACTACGTCGGAGAAACCGGAAGATAGCTCCAAACGCGAATGGCCAAACACGCGGCAGCGGTGAGGAGAAATGACGCCAGCTCTCAAGTTGCGGTTTATTCGACGAGATCCGGCCACACATGCAAGTTCGACGAGGCCGAAATCCTCGTAAGAGGTGACGACCGCGTGAGCCGGGAACTACTTGAATCATGGTTTACTGGCCCCCAGTCCATTAACAAATGCAGCGAACTTCCCCTTCCATACTCGGTGCTGAGACTTCGTCATGGCGACGTAATTGGCCAGGCGGGAAGCGCACAGGTGAACACTTTTCCCAACCCCAGTGTCGGTGGGTCAGATGGTCGAGCAATCATCACACTAACACGCAACGCACGTGATGAAATCGCAGCAATTAACGACGCGAATGTCGGCCATCACACCACGTGCAGCGATCCCGGATGGAGGGGGGGACCGTGAATGCTCATAGATATGCGGTAGCATGGCGACTGCATCCTATGGATACTGCAGCCCCTTATACATGAACCACACGTGTCTGCTTTTGTCTCTGATGATACGTTCGAGTAGGAATCCGAAACGTCAGGCTAATAAATCTCTTGTTCCAGCGATCGTGTCTCCTTCTTCAACAAAAATAAACCCCTCCTTGTTTGGCGTATCTGTGATACAAACGTCTGTGATTCTCCATTGCCTGATCCGAAAGTTTTTCAAGAGTGCAGATGAAACCAAGTAAACATCCATATTTGAAGGAGAGTGGTCGAGCACCGGAACATTTTGTTTATTGTCCTGGGCATTCGGACTCGTGCAGGAGTCCATCGTCAGAGATAGTAGCAGCAACAGAACAAGCGGCAGTTATAGGGCAAAACTGGGGGCGCAAGACTGGAGGTGACTGCGCAGGCCTCTATACGCCGGTGCCAGATCGACAAATCGATTGACTGAGTTCTTATCTGAGACCCAGGCTTCAATCAATTCTCGGCCTGTTTTGTTTCCCGCGTGGGCTGCGAGGCCAAACTCGTGACCCATTTGGTAGGTATGGGCGGCCACTTGCGATAATGCATCGCCTAGTCGCACAGCCACCTTATGTTCGCGTATGCGCGATTCGAGTATGCGTCCCGTCTAACCTGCGTGGTTGCCAGGGCAGTTTTGACATGGGATGCGATACACCACTCCAGATTGCTCCTCAGGCTTTAGCTGGTCTTTAATTTTCCTGACACTGTTGCGCATGGTGGCTTTGGGGCGGTGTGCAATTCCAACACCTACCTCCCCAGCAATGCGTTCAGTCGCTTCTGAAACGTCCTTGATACATGGTAGAGAATGCCATATCGTCGATAGTGTTGTTGTTTGAGTCCTCTGGGGCGACCGCGTAAGCAGCGACTAATGAATGCCCTCGAATAGCCATTTTGCACAAACTGGTCGTGGAGATAACGGGCCTCACGTGCTCTGTCCTGCGGTTTGCTGCAATGACTTTGGATCCGTTTGAAGAGCGTCTTCACAGAGCTTCGTTTGTGAGCCACCGGATGGTTGCTGTGAAAAGTGAGAAGTTGTGTGGTGTTCGTTGCCTTCCTATAGAGTGTCGTTTTAAGTTCACGGTAAGGTTTCGTCTGACAAGCACATCCAGGAAGGGCAACTGCTGTTCCTGTTCTTCTTTCCTCGTGAATTTTATATCGGAGAATATTGCGTTGAGCAGGTTGTCGAAATGTTGTAGCATGCCCTTCTTTACAAAGATAAACGTGTCATCTACGTAACGGCGCCAAAATACCGGCTACGTTGGATAAAGGCTATCTTTTCTAACTCCTGTAGGACCAGTTCTACCACTAAATCGGAGACCGGTGAGCCCATTGGAGTTCCCCTTATTTGTTCATAGGTCTCTCCAGCAAAAGTGAAGAAAGTTTGTTGGCAGAATTCAAACAGCCCCATTAGGGGTTCGATTTTCAGTGCATTCTGAGTCTCCTCGTACGCCTGTTCAAGTCTCTGGCGCAAGACTTCGCGGGTCACGTTTAGGGGGATGGACGTGAATAAATATGTCACATCAAAGAAGACCAGGATTTCGTCCGATTGAGACCTCCGACCTCGGAGGTCTATGAGGAATTGAGAGGCTGATCGAACTGAGGTAGTCGAATTGCCTTGGAGGAACTTCAGTTTTGAGTACATCCACTTTGCAAAATTGTAGGTGGGGCTACATTTTAGGGCAACGATTGGCCGAAGTGGGGCATTTGCTCAATTGATTTTTGGCAGACCATAGGATCGAGCTAGACTGATGTCAGTTGTCAGCACTTGGTGCCATTCATTCGCCGTGATCACATTCTAATGTCGGTATTCTCTAAGCAGTTTACTCAGCCGATCTGCCACTGCTTTGGCTTGTGACTTCTGTGCTGGTCTGTAAAATTATCTGTCATCAAGAAGGGCTTCCGCCTTTTCATTTTAGTCATCTCTATTCATCACGACGGTTGATCGTCCCTCGTCAGCAGGTAGAATGATGATTCTGTCGTTTCTCCTCAGTTCCCTCATAGCCTTTGACTCCGTCTGCAAAATACCTTTGGTTGGTCTGTGTGTCATCAGCAAAAAGGTAACACGTTATCAGATGACATACTAAAAAACTCGGAGGTGATCATTTGATTAAAAAATGGGCTCAACGGTGAGTACGTTCTCCTTCTCAAACTAATCCATACGCCTTCGTAAATCCCATGCACAAACAAATTTACTGCACACGTAACCCGGCCTGAAGAGAACATCACCAAACATTATTTGTTGAAATGGTCCTTGAAGTTAGGAAGCAGTTAATCGCTCCTGTGTGTGTTTGATCAACAGTATTCTTCTGAACTGAAGAAAACTTATACGCCGCCGTCATCCACCGGATGTTCATAAGTACGATTTAAAAGCCTAACGGTATTCATGATGTGTAGACAAAATTGAACTGTACGGATCAAACTAAATAATCCTCCATCTAGGGAAAGTTGGGAGTTCCGGGTTGGTATATTGCAGCAACCTGAACCGAGAGTGAGACCCTGACTACCAAGAGATGAACGCCTTTTTGGAGGATTGTACATTCTGCACAGAACAACTGGAAAAGAAGTTGGAAGGGGTTGGCAGCCGGAGGGAAGCCTCTGCGGCATTGGGAGAGTAGCGTCCAAACCATGAGTCAGGGCACATGTGGCACGGCCTTGAACCTGATTGGCCAGTTGGAGGGCCTAGTAGGCGAACGCCAGGCCGTTCTGGTGCGCACGTGTAACGTCCCTTGAACTGAACAGGCTTGTTTGAATGTCGCAACACTTTTTGGCGCATACCTGGAATGTCGATGTTGTAAATGCGTGCTGGAGAAGACGGCCGGTGTCCCTTCCTCTCGCCACCGCCGATATCGCCTCCCACAACGTACTGTCGTTCTCGTCGCTCGCTCTCTCTCTCTCAACCTCGGCCCCCTCTCGACCCTTCCCTGCAGTTGCCCGCAGCGGTACATCCCCACCAGTTGTTTAGCTAGCCTGTTAGGGTCGCTTCTCCATCCAGGCAGGTTATCTCATTGCTGTTTTGCCATTCTACGTGTATAATAACAATTATTATAGGCATTTCTCGTGTCCATCTCGTTCCATTATACTTTATCCCCTACTTGACTTACCTTCTTCTCCTGCGTGTGACTGAGTATCACGAGACGCTAACGATTCCGTTCCGATCGATCTCCGCTAGGATCTCTTCCCAGCGCTTTGTCACTTTAGTGTGTGCCACCCGTGACGTCCTCGGCCGCTACACACGTACACTCTCGAGAGGTCCAGCTTGGCACAGGCGCTCGAAGGAGGGTTGCAGCGGACAGCCATCATGAGCGGTCTGGCGTTATTGTTCAAGACCTCGCTGTCTCAAGGTCATCCACCCCTTTGCAGTGAGCCGTTCCAGATGCGCTGACCTGACGTCACACGACCAACAGCTCCGGCATACCTGCGTCCGCACAGCCGCAGCTACCCATAAGGCCACTTGAACGCACCGCCCCTGCAACCACAGCCTAGGCCACTGGAACATCACCCCTCGGCAACTGCAACACACTGACTGGACACCACTTGAGCTTGGTCCACGAGCCTACAAAAGCGGCTGACACCACTATCTCAAGGCCTCTTAGGCATGACTGGACGCAGTCAACACCAGCCCTGGCTTCGCCACTGGCCACTGCCGCCTGAGAGGACAACTTCGGGTTCTGTGCACAATAAACCCCTCATTCTGGTGTCTTCCGTCTACTCCCTACAGCACTAGGATTTGTCATGCTGATTTTAGTGCTCAGACTGCACACATTCACACTGTCTGGTCACAACAGGGTCACTGCAGGTGATTTGAGAAAGAGGGAG